CTTAGACATCATCCCTTTTAGGTAAAATGCAAATAACATCAACATACATGGGAGATTTATATACTGCTAGGCAGCATTTTTATACGGAACAAATTATAATACATAGTTTGAAACCACTGAATTTCATTGCAAAACCAACATAGAGTAGCAAAGAACCAGAAAATGCAGACAAAAGTTTGTTTATTTTATTTCTTAGTAGATTGCAACCTCTTCTTTACTGTAGATAAAATTCCTGTGGTTGCAAAATAATGTAGTTTGTGTGAGATTGACTGGATTAATGAAAAAAAAAAGAAATAATATTGCTTTAGCTGTATATTTGATCTTAAATAAATATTTACAAAGCTAAGTCTTCATCGGGGAGCACAGATCACTTTGTCAAACTTGCTATGATGGTCTATATAGCTTTTCCCATTCTGAGTGTCCACCAAGTAGGCTAGAGTTTTGCTTACCCACCACTCATTCAGTAACCATTTATAGTTATGACGGTGCCGAAGGAGTGGTGATTATAATCTGGGTGCTTGCAGTTACATCATCATTATTTGCGATTGTTCCTGCCAGCCTCCCCAGAACCACTGGGGAAGACATTGCTCTGGTCCTCCTCACCTTCATGTGTTTACACCATGCTACCCATTCTCATGCCGTACCATCCACACCCAGGTCTTTCTGGGCTTATGCTGCATCATCTCATCTGTGGTCTGTCTGTATAGGCACTCCTCGACTTACAACAGTTAGTTTAGTAACTGTTCAAAGTTACAATGGCAGTGAAAAAAGTAACTTATGGCCGTTTTTCAGAGTTATGATCTTTCCAACATCCCCCTGGTCATGTGATCAAAATTCAGATGCTTGGCAACTGTTCGTATTTGTGACCGTTGCTGTGTCTCAGAGTCATGGGATCCACTTTTGTGACCTTCTGACAAAGTCAACGGGGAAGCCAGATTCACTTAATTGGATTACTAACTTACCTACTACAGTGATTCACGAAACAACTGTGGCAAGAAAGATCATAAAATGGGGCAAAACTCACTGAACAAGATGTCCTCACTTTGCAACAGAAATTTTGGGCTCAACTGTAGTCGTAGGTCGAGAACTACCTGTATTTATGTGTGGCCTGCCTCTCTCCTGCAATTCATGGCTTCCCCTGGCTACCTCCTGAAGCATCCCCATGCCCCTTACCTTCCAACACTTCCTGCTTAATGACCTGCATGTCGTAGGATTAAAATGGCACCTGGGACTGTTAATACGGAACGATGTAATTGTGTGATGTTCTGTTTTTTGATTGCAATGCTTAGTGACAGCAATCCTGATGCCAGCTGCTGTCGTACTCTGAGGACTACTTTTATCAGATTATGATCATGCTGTCTGGGGAGGACAAATCTTTTGTTCTAATATCCTTGGACAACATCTGGTTAGAGAAAGTTGGGTGAATATCTTCAGTTAGATTCGGGGAAAACCACATTCAGATCTTTGTTTACTGATAAAATTCATAGGTAGCCTCCCCCCCTCACACAGCTACCATAAGCAAATATTTCATTATATTCGCAGGTAGTCCTCGACTTACGACTACAAAATAGCCCAAACTTTCTGTTGCTAAATGAGACATTTATGGAGTTTTGCCCCATTTTACAATCTTTTTTTGCCAGTTAAGTGAATCACCGCACCTGTTAAATTAGTAACACAGTTGTTAAGTGAATCTGGCTTCCCCTGTTGACTTGGCTTATCAGGTTGCAAAAGGGGATCACGTGATCCCAGGACACTGCGACCATTGTAAATATGAGTCGGTGGCCAAGCATCTGAATCACATGACAATGGGGATGTTGTTAAGGGTTGCAAGAGTGAAAAATGGTGATAAGTTACTTTTTTTCAGTGATGCTGTAACTTCGAGCAGTCGCTAAATGAAACTGTTGTAAGTCAAGGACTACCTCTATAACAAATACAGCAGAAACATAAGGTTCCCAATGTTTTCCTGTAGCCCCTTATTTCCTGGGGACACTAGCAGCGTTTCCTCATCTATCCTATTTTCTGGGATCAGACAGAAATAGATTTTTATATGTGTTACGCTGCTGTATGGAAAAAAGTAATAAAGTCTTTCCCTTTCCAGACTGCAAGACAAGTGAGAATTCTGGAAGAATTTCTTATGCAGCTGGCACCTTGCCCACCAAAGGACATGGGCAATCCCAACTAACAGCCAAGTGTTTTTCATTAGGAGCAGCAGGATGGGCAAAGGCAGTTTAGCCCAGCCTCCCAACCACTGCATCCCAGGTCAAGAGAAGACAAAAACCCTTCGACCTACCTGATGGCAGCTGGCTCAAATTTTATAGGAGAGAGGGTACAAGAGAAGGTTCTCTTCCCAGTTCCAGAGTAATAGCTAAATTTAATTATTTTTGTTCTATTTAAATAAGGCCAGAAAAAAGCCAGTTTTTCATGAGCTGGCATATTACTGTACCTAAAAAGGCCTAACAATCCAGCTCAAAATCTATTACACTTATGTGAAAATAAACTCTAACAAATAAAATGGGATTTGAATACAGTGGAGGAAGAAAGGATCCTGAAAGCCCAAATGTTTTTTTACCAAAATATCTCAAATTCTGGACCCTGACTAAGCAAGGGTCCTATTCTTTGAGTTGAGATCAATTTCTTCTCACCTTTATAGACGCATAGTTTTCTTGGCATATTACGGAAAAGGTTAGCCATTGTCTTCTTTGAATTAGCCTAGTAATCTCCCATTGAAGATCTAAGCCCAAATGTGTTTAGTTTCCAAGCCCATCAATTTCAGCCAGGTAATGACATTAGTGGTCTCCAGTATTATTTATTTACATTTCATATTATAATACAATCATAATTAATCAAACCAAAGGCTAATGTCCCATCTTGTAAACGTGTAAATGTATAACTGTCTTATAAGCCTGTGGGCATATATGGACAGATAACAGATAAAGAAATTTAAGCATTATAGTAGCTCTCTCTCTCTCTCTCTCTCTCTCTCTCACACACACACACACACACACACACACACAGAGACACACACAGAGACACACACAAAAGGCATGAAATCAAATTATACCCAGTGTCAGGAGCTGAAAGAAGACTTCTTCTCTAATTCCGTAATAACTTTACAGTTAAATCCTCTTCAACAGTTGAGTTTTTGCTAAATTGGTTTTAGTACCTTTTTAAAAACATAGTGAAAAATTCTACATCCATGACGCTTGCCCAAATTTATTAACCATGGTTTAGAAATCAGGAGCAATTTTTAAATTAATCTCTAATTTTAATTATGTTTTAACTAAAGCTGTCATTTTCTAATCAAGTATCAACTAAGAGAATTGTATTTGATAATCATTTAGGACAATTGTTAACTAACTTTTTTTTTGTTCAGGAACAGCATTTTTGAGACACACAGAGGGGGGAGGGAGGGAGAGGGAAGGAGAGGGATGGCCTGACAAACATTCAACTTGGCCTGATCCATTTCAACCATGATTTAAAAAAGGGTGAAGAATATTATCAATCTGAGCCACTGGTGCAGAAAAGCTTTATCTGCAAAACGGTAACTATTTTGTATTTGTATTTCTCAAAAAATATCCTAATATGAAAACAGACAATAATTTCTCAAGTTTGTGAACTTATCATTTTACTAATGTTACACCTGGGATTATATACTAAATGCAATAACTCTTCACCATATATGTTTTATATATGATTGGTAATCCACATATAAGTATCACAAGCAAGATTTTTTAAAAAATCAGAATCTCAAAACATTCCTTGCATATGGAGAGACTGAGAGAAGAAACCACGACTATTTTAAAAAATTAAATTCGGGTAAGCTATAGAGAAATTTAAACCTGCAGCAAAAAGTATCTTTTTCCATTATTTACACTATCAGCAGATATGATAATTAAAAGGAAAAATCACAGAATTAAAGAACAGAGAGACCAGAAAAATAAGATGTAGAATTCCAATCCCCTGCAGGATGCTCCAGCCTTCACCAGAATATTACTGGCTATTAACCTGCACAATCCCAGATCAAACAAGTACAGAACTGGAACAGACATACAGCACACTAAGTACAGCTCCAAAGCTCAGTAAATGCTTCTCTTGTATAAGAAAAAAATATGTTATTAGCCTCAGGATTATTATTTTTTTTTCAGGTAAGTGCACATATATATCAGATTTTTTTCATCTCTTTTTTTTGAAGGCCCCTATTCTCATAACACATCTACACAGCTAAATCAATTGCAATACATTTCATATTTTAAAGGTTGAGGCCATTACTTATTTCTAAAATTTTGCTCCATCGACGAAACCTTAATTCAAGCCTTCCATCTGTTTAAGAAAAACATAAAAATAGTCTGTCCAGGTTTCCCACCAGAGGGACGCTGCAAGGCACCCTCTATTTATTTTAGGATGAGATCTTAAAACAGCATGCGTATGACCCGTTCTGTTTTGCCGTCTTTTTTGGTTGTCAAATGTTCCCCCCTCCTCCCTTTCTTCAATGACAGATTTGGCATGTACCCTGAACAAAATGTCTCCAGTCCCAATCCCCATTTTGAAGGGATCCTTAAAACTGCCTCTCCCACCAAATACCCCACAAGCGTGCCCCCCACACACACACACATGGCAAGATTTCAAAAGTCATCCTAATAAGCTCAATAAAGATCTGGTCTGCCCTGCCAGAGCCCTGGGTTTAAGCCCAGCTGGCTCAGCAGAAGAAGCAAGCTTACCAGAGTTGTTGTACTTCAGCCTACAAAGGAGTTGAGAGACAAACACAGGCAAGGGGAAAAAAATGCATGTTATTTTTTTACGAGCTGTATTTAATTAATTAACCTGTTAGGCTGGAAAACATTCGCCAATGGGATGGAGAGGCATGATTTCCCCCCACACACACACACAAACACAGGCACCCCCGTCTGCTTTACACACACCCCGCGGACACAAACCCTAACCCAACCAGGAGGGTGGCTCGATCACAGTTTAAGGTGACCCACCGAGAACCAACTTCTCACCTTTATCCTGAGAGCAAGACAGGATTTCTTCTTCTTTGGGGTTAGTCACCTGGGTGATAATGGACGGGTGGTCCATGGAAACTGAGTGCGCTTTTCACCTGGCTATTATTCCCTCCCAGAGGCAGCTTCGGTGGGCACTTTTTAATTAAGCTTTTTCCTTTTAGGAAATCGGGAGGCGGATTTATAAATGGGGCGACGGGGGGGGGAGAGAGGGGGGGAAAACCACTCCTCCAAAACGAAGCCAAACCAAGCCACCCCCCCAAAAAAGGGGGGGAGGGAAGGGGGAGGGGGTGGAGTAGCCGGCCAAGCACACCCCGGGCTGAGGGAGCCAAACCCTCCCCGGCAGGGGGGGGAAAGGGGGGAGGGGTCCTAAAACTGCTCCCCTCCCCCGCCGCAGAGGTAAAAGGAGCGGCTAAAGGCGCAAAAATGCCCGCGCTGACACGGCAGGCCGGCGGAGCATCCCTCCCCTCGTCCGCCGCGGCCCAGGACAGCCGCCCCACTACGGCTCGCCCCGGGCCCCGGCGGGGTTTCGGGAAGGGCGGGCGACCCGCGGGCAGCCCCCGGCCGCGCTCATGGCACCGTCAGGCGGCCTCGCTGGCTGGGAAGGGCCCGCGAGGGGGGGAGGAGGAGGAGGAAGCGGCCCCCTCACGTGCCGCCCCCCATTACCTCATCCCGCCCCCGCCGGCTCTTTCCCGCGCTGAGGTGCGCCGCCGAGGGCGGGCGCCTCCGTCGCCGCTGCGCCCTCAGCGCCCCGGGTGCTCTGCCCGCCGTCCGCCCCGCGGCCCCGACGAGGAAGAAGGGAACAGCAAGGACGACGACGACGCCGCCGCCGCCGCCGCCTCAGGCATCACCAGGGAGGCGGGAAGCGGCGCGGCGCCTGCTCACTCGGCCGCCTCACAGCAGCCAGCCGGCCCCGGCGGACCAGTAAACAAGGGGGCAGGGCCTCTCCGCCGCGCCTGTCAATCCAGCCGAGGGGCGGGGCCTCTACGCCGCGACCTAGTCAATCCCAGGGAAGGAGAGGGTTAGGCTTTAGGGCGGGGCCTCTCCGCCTCGCCCTGTCAAGCGGGCGGAGAGGCAGGGAGAAGGCGGTGCCTTTTCGCCTCGCCCTGTCAGAGAGGGGGCGAGACAGCGCGGGGCCTGTCTGACCCGCCGGAGGGAGGAAAGACTCGCCGCAGCCTGTCAATCCAATGGGAGAAGCGAAGGGAGGGAGGAATTTCTCCCGCCCTGGCTGTCAATCCAGAGGCTGGAAGGAGGACTCTGAGAAGGGGCGGGGTTTCTCCCCCGCATCCTGTGAATCCAGCGGGAGGGAAGGCTCTCCGCAGAGGGGGCGGGGCCTCCTCATCGCGGCCTGCCAATCCAGTGGAGTGGGCGGAGAGAGGGACGGGCTGGCCAGTTATAGGGGGCGGAGTCTCGGTGGCAGCCGTGGAGGGGGGAGCAAAAGGAGTGATTCATTTAACAACTCTGGCAAGGAAGGTCGCAAAATGGAGCAAAACGCATGGGGTCCATTGTGGTTGTAATTCAAGGGCTATCTGTGCTAGAGGCTGCATATCTTTGGCTTGCTAAAGAAAATAAGATGGTGAGAGAACACATTACAGGTAGAACCTTAACTAATAATCATTCATTTAGTGACTGAAGTTACAGGAAAAAAGTGACAGGACTTTTTTTCCCCACACAACTCTTGCGGCATCCCCTGGTCACATGATCAAAATTCAGATGCTAGCAGGTGACTCATATTTATGACAGTTGCAATGTCCCGAGGTCATGTGATCCCCTTTTGCAGCTTCTGACAAGCCAAATCAATGGAGCCAGATTCACTTAAAAAACATGTGACTAACTTAACAACTGCAGTGATTCACTTAACAACTATGGCAGGAAAGGTCGTAAAATGGGGCAAAACTTACTTAATACGTGTCTTGCTCACCCATGAAAATATCCCCTGGATGGAAGTGAAAGTTGGATTTTAAAGAAGCAGGAGCGGTCAAGTATTGGCACCTTAATAATAATAATAGCCCCCAGTGAGGCACTACCTTGACGTGGTTGTGGGGCTTGTGTACTCTGAGGAAGATGAGAGCTATGCCAGAGGTTCAACCATACTGGACGGGTCTCATCAGAGGAGTCAGACAAAGAGTGTCTCTCCTATAAAAAATATGGTGAGACGTAAATTGCAGAATGCCATACCGGCTCGGACGTCGCCCGGGTTAACAAGGTCCGCACTAGATATTGGAGTTCCTGGATATCTGGTGAAAAATGGGTTACAGGACTCAGGAGTGTTGGCTGAGCAACCAGGGACCAGCAGCTGCAGAACTACTGGAAGAAAAGATGTTTAACCCGTCACAGATACACCAGTGATGAAAACAAAGATAAAATAAATGAATCTTTTTACTACGACAAGTCCAACAAGAAGAGGTGATATAATCTAAAAACTAAAACCACCATTCCCTGAAAGAACAACATCCAGAATCAGAAATAACAGAACAGAGACTAGCAGATCAACGCCGATTTATAATACAAAATAAAGTATTCACAGAAATCGAATTGGACGAACTGCAAAGGTTTACCCCGGGCAAAGAAATCAAAGCCTTACCAGAAGTCATTCAGAATGTAGAGGCAAACCAGGGGGAGTTGGCAGTGAAGGAATCCAGCAGAGATATACAACTGTTCTCATTTGGAAACCAGGCACCTCTTCCTCAGGAAGAACAAAACCCTCTAACTCAAGAAATAAAAGAATTGAAACAAAGAATAACTGAGCATCTAGAACAGCACAAAAACAACAGAATAAGGCTACCTGCATTGAAGCTTGTTCCAAAGAAACAGCTAGCACAAGCATTAAAGATGCAAGGTAACTGCCATATATCATATAATCCCCAATTCAATTCAAGAACAAACCAGTTAATGTAACAGCAAACAGCTGCAGTTATAACAGAAATACCTTGGGATGCAAAATCAACAAAGAAGAAAAACAAACAAACAGTGCATACCAGAGAAATGAAGGGTTAGACTAGAAAGAATTAAGATCAAGCTAAAGTTAAGATAACATGGAAAGCAAGCCTAGAACACAATAGAAAAGAAAGAAGCCCTGAAGACAGAAAAACCAGAATACCTAATCAAGACATACCACTTAGAAAGAAGGAAGATCAAGGAAGCACTGGAAATAATAAAGCAACAAATAACAGCTATAGCCAGGAAAATCAGTAGATATGAAGCTCGAATTGCAAACTATAGGCAAAACCTCCAATTTCAATCAAATCAGAAACGTTTCTACCGATCCATCAATGGAGAAACTGCAAGGAATCAGTCAGTACCTGACAAGGAAGAAACAGTGCAGTTCTGGAAGCAGATATGGGATAACCCAAAGAAATACAACAAGGATGCGGCTTGGTTAACAGAGGTGGATGCAAATAAAACAGAAGTTGAAATGAAAGAACTAGTAATAACAACAAAAATGGTAGAAAAAGAGCAAAGAAAATCAAAAATTGGTCAGCACCAGGTGAAGATGAACTGCATGGGTTTTGGTTGAAACATCTAACTGTTATACACCCACTCATTGCCAAACAGTTCAACAATATACTACAAGGA